CTGGCTCCGTATATGAGGGGTACTATGAATGGTTCATGGTGAACACTGTCAGACTGATATCCAATCCCAAAAATTATGAACCTCAAGGATACAAGACTTCTTCGAGCCGAGTGAAATTATATGTGAGTTCATTCTATATATTTTTTTTATTTCTTATGTTTTTATTTTATTTTATTTTTTATTTTTTTAGAGTTTTACTCTCTTAATTAACGTCTCAATTTCTTTTCAGGGTGAAGTATTGAACAAAATTCGTGTGAGTTCCGAGAAGTTTAGAGAAAAAAAGAGAAGATGAGAATTTCCTAGACGAAGAACTCGACAAGCATTTGGACGATATCATCAATCAAACATATGCTGCTTTAACCCTGGGTGCAAATGATGAGATGGAGGTGGAGGATACCCAAATCCTGGTTGATGAAGATCCATCTTTGCCCTCACAACCTCCGACGGGTAAAAAAGCAAAACCGTGGTCGAGAGATAAGATTGAAGGACGAAGAAAAAGGAAGGTCTCAATTCCCCCTCGGACATTGCAACAACAAACTGAGGGTCAACAAAATGAGGATCAAGCACATTCTTCTCGAGGCTCGCACATCCAGGTCGAGACTCAATTTTAAGACATTGGTGGACCCGAGACTCAGTTTGGTGGACAGTTGCAACCACAACTGGGAGTCAAATTTCTCACCATGGGGGAGTCCCAATCCCAACCCCAACCCGAGCCTCAGTTTGATGGACAGTCGCAACCACAACAGAGTTCAATACTCACGTATCTTAAGAGGGGAGACAGGATCCGGCAGGGCCCAAATAAATACACTCCGGATGCGCAAAATAAAGGAAAAGGGAAAAAAATGAGACCTTTGATGTATTTTGCACATTTAAAGTAGTTTTTGTATTGATTTTGGTATGAAACTTGATTTGTTTTGTCGTTAATCGAATGTCGTTTATTGTTTTGTTGCCATTAAATTTCTGTTTTCCAATGTTTCATTGTTGTTGGTGCTGTAAACAGGTTTAGGACTGGTTAAAACCAGTCCAATTTTTTTTTTCAGTTCTGACATAGACTCGAATTTGCAAAATCCGAACTCAGACTTTTTGTAAAGGATTCGGATTTCATAAATCTGAGTATGTAGCCAACTGAAAGTTAGCATTTTTCAGAAAACAGAGGAGATTTGGATTTCGGTAATCCGAATCTTCATTCATTCGGATTACCGTGATTCGGATTTTCCCAAATTTAATTTTTCAACACATTTTTTTTTTCTATCCGGAAATTAATATTTTATTCGTAAATACGGATTTAAAAAATTCGGATTTAGATTAATTACACTAATTTCTGTCATTAACTTAATATCGGATTTATGTAACATAAAGTCGGATTTCTATAATCTGAGTTTAGAGTGGTTCGGATTTTCCGAGTCCCCCCCCCATTCGGATTTCCTAAATTCGGGACATATAAGTTTGTCCACAAAATTTTTGAAAGGTTTATTTTTGTCCATGTATATATAAGGAAATATATTTAAGGAAAAAATTCCTTTCTTTTATGGGATAAGGACAATTAGCTCCGTGAGGGGCCAATTGGGCTAAATTAGAGAAATGATTGTCTTTGAGACATAATTTGAGGGGTCAGCTCGGTTAAATTAGAATAATGGGCTTGACTTTCATAATATTAGAGTACTAAATTCAAAAGGAATAATGTGTTATATTTGTATTTCTACTTTGTTATTACACTTTTGAACTTTTAATCACATTTAAATTTATTCAAATGTGATGGTTTGTAAATTTCTACATATATACATATTAATTCAAGTAATTTTTACAGATATAAAAATTATACGATGCGTATAAAAAAATGTATCACGATGTCTATGTCCATGTCGTAGCCGCATCTGTATAAAGATCCCTTGTATCCTAAATTTTAAAAAAAACAAAAAAAACTGACGTGCCGAACACACGATCTGTACCAATGTCCAATACCAATACCGAGTTCATGTAGTTTATAAATAAAGTATTCTACTGAAATCATGATCATTCCAAAAGAAGAAGTAGATAATAATAGACGAGCCTATATTGCCAAAAATCAAGATAACAATGACATAATTATAATTCATACAAGTTTAATGTAGAATAACTGAAAAGCGTCCGTGGCAGGGCTACTGTTCATATGATAGTTGCAACAGTGATGATGAAATAAACAGATAAAGATCACTTTCGTTTAGGCATTTCATCAAACAAGTGGATGCCTGAGTATAAGCATGCTTTACACTATAAGGTAGAAGGAGAAATTTTTAATTTTTTTTCCCCACCAGCCTTGGTTGAATTGATAATTCTAGCAAAGTAGAAGTTAAAGAAAATGACACGTTGGGCAGGATCATTGAATCTGAATAGTTAACTAGCGTGCACTGAAATTAAGACAATTTTAAAATAAAGGGATACTTTCATTAGTATCAAAGGAAAAACGGTCAAATTCTAAGCAACACTTCCCTGTTTAAGGCTCCCCCAAGACGAAGCCACAAAATATCCATTCTTTCAATGCCATAAAAACAATTAGGTATGTTTCTTTGATTTACCATTAGAAGCGGAGCCCTCAGCATGCTTAGGTATCTTTCAAAATTATCTCAAAAAAGAAAATCCCGAAATAAATCATGCTTCGATGATTTTCATAAAATCTAATCAAAGACTTAGTCCCGAAAATAAAGAGGTGAAAATTGTTACCTGCAATGATCACGACCGGACGCAAGTATTTGAGTAACACTCTAGGTTTTAGAAGGTGAATGAGAAGGAGCGATTACCCGAGCTGTAAATCACTAGAGAGTCGCCATAAACAATCTCTATGGCTTTCCTCATTCCGTGCTTTGCTATTTTGTATGGAACATCCGCGGATAGTATGTCTTCTCATCTTTCATAACCGATGCCACCATGCAATTTGCGTTCTCCTTAATCTTTCTCATGACAAGACTAGCAATCATAAATGAGCCCACGTTCCGATTGTCATTTCTGGTGGTGGGATTCATGCAATTATGTGCGTTGTGCCACCTCACTATTTCTTGCAGATTGTGCTCTTTTATCAACACACGCATCTTCAAAAGACATACGTGATAACCATCCAAACATGAATATGATTGATCTAATGTTTTGCACCGCGCTGCCCATGTCTTTGGGGTACTCACGACAAATCGATACTTTTTTTTTTTGGTTATGTTCCACAACCTCACACCACGTTTCGTTTGTTCTTGAGATTGAAACTAATGCAAATGTCCAATCCATTCGTGTGTCTCATCCCAAATACAAAAACAAAATTCATTTTGGTCACACACGAGGAATTCTATTTATCCATTTTCCGATGATTCATACATGAAAACAGAACTCACGCACGTTGTAGATATGCCCGACAAGGTGTATCGCCCTCTTGTTTACTTGTTTGGGCGTGTCTATTGAAGGAACCCTTAAGAAATCTTGTTTCTTGAAAAACTTCAATGTCTTTCGTCCTTAAACTCGATATTCGTGAAGTTGAAACTAGAGTCCATTAAGAAATCCAATCCACAAAATCCTCATTGGCAAGGACTGGCTTTCAAAATGTACTTGCTTGTATCAATCATCTTTGTTACAAGTCTTTTTATTACTCGATCCGTGCACGGCGTACTTGTGCTTGAACTTCTTTGCTTGTGATGCGAAGTGTAGTAATGAATTAAAGCAAGTATGCTCATATTTATCATGTCTATGGAGACTATGGTTTTGTTGAACCCGCTTGCATTGGACTGAATATAAAGTGCTTAGTAAAATGGTAAAACCTTCCCAAATGCTTGAAACACTACTTGCTTTGTTAACAACTCGGTAAAACAGTGAGACCCTGGACATGTGTATCATCTCAATCATACTCTTTCAGTCCCAAAATTATTGTCCAATTTGAGATTTTACTTTTAGTACAATATTGTCAAATTATGGGATGGAGGGAGTACATTTTTTTTTTCAAACAAGGAGATGAGTAAAGACTCTGGTCCGTGAACTTCTTTGGATGATATATGTAGTGCTTAGCTATATTTTGGGGGGTGTAAAGTCGAGAAGAGGCTGAAAAGTGGTCATGTAAGAAGTAGAAATTCAAATGGATGCTGGTCATGACCTATGTGCATGATGCTACCTGTATTTTGGGCTTGTAATTAACTCAAAGAACTATATGCACCAAAGAAATTCCAAGTTTCCCTAGTGAAACTTGTAGTGTTTTATTTTTGGTTATAGTTTTTTAAAATCGTAATGAATTCCAAAGCTACTTTACTGTAGTATAAGCTCATGTAGTGCATTAATTAATCTCATATGTAGTCTCACTAGCTCAGTGCACTTGATTTACCATTAGAATAGTTGTATGACAACACATAATCTGTACTATCCACTATAATTTAGTTCAAATACTTCGAATCTGCGTCTCAACTTAATAATGACGCTATGAGATGAGATTAACAAACTGTTACTGACCACTAGCGAGAGCTAGGCAATGTCCAGACATGACTCGTTTCATCATGTAAAAAAGGAGTCGAATCGGTCGTTACAGAAACTGATGAGGATACTCAATATTGGAGCAAAGAGAATAGAGTAAAGAACAGAGTGATAGTGCCGAAATGATAACTTTCCAGATTGTAAATCTTAGGATTGGCAAACTAAAGAAGCAACCAAAGAGGTAATTTGTAAAAGTCAGAACTCATTATCAAATGGAAGACTAAATGGTTTCTTTTCATTGCCTACTATTATATAAAAATGGATTGAGACAAATACCTCCATAATTTCAAACTGTGAATAAAACTCTCAGCTAGAAAAGTTAATTGGATACTACCAGCTTCTACATATTCTTCCACGGATTTGGATTTTGTAGAGGGCACATGCAATACTTCCATGGAATTAGATGATGTTATAGAGGGATAATGCTAAGTGGGTTCAATCCAACTAACACATAAATTTTTAAAAAAATTCAATCAAGAACATTATAGCAAGATATTCAATGGAAATCAAAACCTGTTCATTATGTAGAAAACGCAAAAAGAAAAAAGAAAAGAAAAAAACATTCACCTGATCAGAAGCAAATCCAAAAGCAACAATCAAATCCTTACAAACAGTAACATAATGTACTCAAGTCTAGATATGATATAATACCAATAACGAAAAATCAAAGCTGTTTTGCATGAGAAACTGCAGATTTCCCCCTGCTCCTTCGGTCTACATCTTTGGCTGATAAGTAGAAATGTGCAAAATGGAGAATAGCAATACCAGCCATAGTCAAGCTTTCGTATTTGGCCCCGGAAAGCTTGCTTCCTTCGGATTTGTCCCTGGAAACCTTGCATGCTTCGTTGGACGGGGAAGCCATCACACCAACAGTCTCTAAGAAAGCCATGTTGAGAGGGCAATTGGCAGTGAAGGTTCCAGGAGTAGGCGCCAGCACATCACCACTCAGGCGAACGGAGAAACCCGAGGAAACGCCTGATTTGATGTCCTTAACCAAAGCAGCAGCGGTAGCATTGTCAATACTAACAGGAGAAGAAGGAAAAGTTACCTTGACAAGCTCCTGGCGGGATTCTGCCAGGCCGGAATCAGGGAAATCCGTCTTCCAGATGGGGATGGAACTGGAAAAGGGCATCCACCAGGGCTGGATGAAAAACTTGTTCAGTAGTCCAACAGGATTAATCTTATTCTTCTTTCCGAAAAAAATCTCGGCCGTTAGGTTAGCGTAATCCAATTCGTGATCACCAGAAGGGTTTGTCACGTTGAGAATCATGTTCCAATTCGCCGTGATGGTGCCGGAAATGGGGTCGTGCCGGATGGGGAAAACCGAGACGGATTCGACCGAGAATTTGGGGAGAATCACCAGTTCCCTGTTGTTGTCGTAATAGTGGTTAATCATGGCAGAGAACTGAGCAAAATACATGATCCACAGAGTAGCCAGGATCAGATAGCGGGAGAAACCCTCAAACTTCTTCGCCCTCGAAAAGGGAGAAGCTTTGACCGCATCATCACTACGAACAAGGGTTTTTTTCTCCATGATGATCTCTTGTTCAGGGTTTTCCTCCTGGAGGAGGAATTCAGGGGATTTAGCAAAACCCTCACTTAATTCTTCATCAACCATATCCTGATCATCATCATCATCATCATCATCATGGATCTCCGTGACGCCGCCGTATTTTTCACCCTGAAAAGCTCCATCAATAATCGCATAATCATCATCTATGACTATATGATCGGTGTAACCATAGCTTTCACAATCAGATTCACCCGAACTAGAGATTTCGTGATACATCATGCCACACTTTGCAGAGAGAAGAAGATCGCAATGATCAACAAGGGTTTGGATTTGTCTATGTAATGTATAATAATACTACTAATTACTAGGCACCGTTATACTTATATAATATATTCGAGCCAGTTAATTCTGTCGCAAATTTAACACGTGTCTCTCTCTGATTTGCTTCCTTGTACTCGTGGGGGCCACTCCACCTTCTCCTTCTTCCATATGCCTCTTTTTTTCACCATCCCAAACGTTTTCTACTCTCACCTCTGAACTCTCTGAAGCACAATACCGGAACCCTACGGATTCCCTCAGCCATGCACGGCGGCTGTGGCAGCGGAGGCGGCTGAAAAATCCGTGAAATTCTTTTTTGAATTCGACCGCATATTTCAAAAGGTGGTATGTTCCTGGCTTTCTTCAAAATTTCTTTCACATTGTAGGTTAGATGCTATTGTTTTGTTTTAGATTCCTTCTCGTATCGAAATGATCGTCATTTTATATTTTTATTTTTAGAACAATTTGTACTATAAACGAAAATCCAAACTGGACAAAAGAGTACTAGGTTTATAGTGAGGCTCAATTGTTGCCTTCTTTTTCCAAATAAATTATGCCTAATTTGCAGTTCTAATGGTAAGCCACTTGCCAAATGTTGAAAGACCAAACATAATACCAGTTTATCTGCATGTTTTTGCAATGTTCCGATGATTGAGTTGATCATGAGTTTGCATGGTAATGATTATAGCTGTTATTAATCTGCAGTTCGTCGTATAAGTTTCTAATTAATGAAATAAAGTGGTCTAAAGCTTAAAAAGATTTATATGTATGAAAAATACTGGTTCTACGTGTCATATCATGCAGGAGCAAAATTGATGGAAAACCAACAACTTAAAATGGACAATAGTTGAGAAAGGAACAGTTTTTGCTTCCTCAAATTGGTGTACAACAACTTAATTTGTGTAGATTTCCTGAACATGAAAAGCATTAATTAAAAGCTAGCGTAGCATTTGAACTACTAATAATCATAATAAAAGATCTGGAAAGTACAACCTACAACTGTGGGAAAAAGTTTATATAGAAGAAAAACTCATCTGCTTTGTGAAAGTAAGAGGCATTATGCACCAGTGCACCTAGTAGTGCCATTGATAACTTTAAGGATTCCGAAAGAAACAGGATACTTTAATGAATAGATCAAGCAAACGAAGGGATTGATAAGCATAAAATTTCATGGAAGACTGAAAGACACTTTTATCTTATGAAATTGTCAGGCATTACTCAATATCGTCAACTGAAAGGAATTACAAAAGACTGATGATGGAAAAAGGTGCACAGAGATTAACATGTTGCATAAGCTAGTGTAAAACTCAAGTAACAAGTGAATCTAGGGAAACAAAACTTAAAATTCTAGAAAGACCATTCGTAGAAGAAGATATATAAGTATAATTTGAAAATTATTCCACTAAAATAAGTAGCTTTTTCTCTGATTGAAAGCTTTTCCTTGCTGAAAATTCAAATGACAATTAGATTAGTTAAGCTTCTGCGCTGGATATGTGTGTCTAGATTGAAATAATATAACGTGGACATCAAAATAGTATGATTTGAAGTTTCAGTGAAGAAACAACAGATAAAACGTGAAAGCTTCAAACCTCAGCATCAACCCTTTATCATTCATGTAGTGGAATGAGAATTATTTTTACTTGTTAGAAGTATTCCGTGGGCTGGGTGAGAGAATATTTATAGACTCGTGAAGTAGATTTGAAGTATTTTCAAGATTCCCGGATTATGATGGATAAAGAAAACAAATTGCGGGGTTACAGTTGACAAGTGGAAACTATTTGTGGTCTCTCCAACTAAAAGATCTCGATTTTGAGCTTACTTGAACGGTTGCTTAGGACATTTCTTTTATATGTGAGAGGCTGTAAGATTAGTAGTAGATTTGCATATTCCTGGTTCCCAAAATTGCATCACCTAAACTTATCACACACTTTAAACGTGTTATTATTAATATTATTTGTATTTTTGGTTTATGGACATATGAGTTCAATGTATATAAACTAGCTTCAAAGTCATGGCCACTAGGATTCTCACTTTATTGCAACACGTTTCTAAATCACAATCAGCCTTCATTCCAGATTCGTGCGATAACTAACATTATTCTGATTGTACAGGCAACACATCTGTTTGAAGTCCAGGTGTCAGCCAAGGTCGGTCTTTTGTCTCTAAAACTAGATATAATTAAGGCTTTCGATCGACCAAAGTAGGGCTTTATTAGTAATATTATGAGGACTCTAGTGTTTGATAATCCTTTGTTAGCTTCTGCATGTATAACCACTTTTCATATTCTTTTACCCTGACTGGTTGTCAATTTGGCAAACTCACCTCATTTGTTGATATCATACACGCGCTATTATGTTTTTGCATTTTACAGGACTTAGGGTGGGGGAAATACATCGGATTTCAGTCTCTTGCAAGGTTTAACTTATTTTTTGCTCAATGATACATTACTATCGTGCGCACGGTGGGAACAACAGGGACAAAGAATCGCAGACAATATTTAAGGCTTCCATCTATGTTGGGTCAAAGTAAGAGAGAACTTTTCAGCGACATCAAAGATAAAATGTGGGAAAGGGTGGAAAGAAAAAAACTTAATGAAAAGGGAGCAAAGAAATCCGCAACAAGGGTGCGTTGCCAGCCATTCCTACTAACACGATGTCATGTTTCTTACTCTTGGTTTATGTTGCTCCTGATGTGCAATCCACGATCTTACAGTTGGGGTAGGAAGGCAAGGTGGATAAGCTGGGAGATGGCTTGGGTTGTAATAGTTTTAAAGCTTCGAACATGGCCTTATTGACAAAAGCAAGCAGGCTCGCGAATCCTTACAACTCCATTATCATTATCGTCTTGGATACACAACGCGAAATATCTTCCTGAAGTTTAGTAGTTTTTGGAGGCTGGCGTCTTCCAAGGAAAGAAAGTTGTGTTGCTGGGCAGCCTCTAACACATCCAAGCAGGTCGCGACAATAAGACCTGAAGGGGAATAGATGAATTCCATTCAACACAGACTTTAGACTTGAGGTCAACGCCAACTTTTGGCCCGGCAAACACTTGTTTCTTTGATCTGATTGATCCCGGTACAGGTATGCGGAGCGAAGGTTTAAATCGGTCCAATCTCAATGCAGTTGAAGATATCTTAGTATTCAAAGGAATTCAAAGGATCCGGCAATTCCTACTTATTAGCATCGTGGTCTGTTTTACAACTCATTTCTGCTTTAATTAAAAAGAAGTTGAGGGTCCTTGCTATTCGGTTAAAGCAGATTGCTCGAGTTTATGTGTTCCCGTCTGGTTAGAAATCCAATTAGAAATCCAACTATCTATTCTCTACTTTAGGAATCATAGGCTGCGTTCTTTTGTCAGGCAAAAGCAATATCACATCCGATGGAAAACACAGTTCATGTATAGAAATTTTAATTATCTTAACTGTGTTCTAGAATAGTATAGTAATTATTCGATAATCACTGATTTTTCTTTTTTCTATGTATATGAAATGAGATTTTAAATTTTGAATAAATTAGGACAAAATAAATTTTGCATAAAAATTAAGAAATTGAACTTATGTGATCAATATCAAGGTTTCAACCTAATTAAGATAAATTAACTAACTTTGGTATCGCACAATGCCTTGATGAAAAGCAGAAACAACAAATTAGATGACTCATTGAGGAGCAAAGAAAAATATACCGAGAAAACTGTTCTCTATATGAAAGATTTGGACGTACATGGGATGTATGAAGAAAGCTACAAAAAGTACGTACATGTCCATTATTTGGAACATAACAGTTCAACTGGGCACACAATTAAAGCGAACAGGAAGTTAAAAAATGCAACAATGTTATACTTTAGTGGCTTGAACCACTCACTACATTGCCAATTTCTAGCCAAGTTAACAAACTCGTACCACAACCATATCTAGCAAAGTTAACGAGCTGTAATGATATTAGAACATTAATATTATAGAATATACTATACTGTTATAAAAACTCAGTTTTCCTTTTTCCTTTTTTTCTTTAATACAAAAACCTAAAACTATAAGTTGATGTAACGTTTGTCTAGTGAATAAAGTTGTGGACTCCATTCGTCTAGTGAATAAAGTTGTGGACTCTAAATTAAAAATTTCCAATAGATAATAATAATATCATAGCAAAATATTCAATGAATTCAAAACCTATCCGTTATCCTGAAACGAAAGCAAGAGGGAAAATAAAACCTCCTAATATGAAGAAAACTCAAATTGATCCACGATAAAAGACCCTATATAACATAAACTAGGTTAGAGCTGTTTTCCATGATATTTTGGCTTTGACACACTAAAAACTCGAGTAGTATATACACAACGCAGCGCGGGTGGCCGGCGTCTTCCAGTCTACCATGGTGACCTTGCATTCTTCTGATGAGGAAGCCATCACACCACCGCCTGTCTTTAAGAACGCCATGTTGAGCGGGCAGTCCGCGGCGAACCATGCCTTACCAGTCCTCTTATCGTGTTTGTTGTACTCAGTGATACTACCGCTCAGGCGAACCGAAAAACCCGTCGACGCCCTCCCGGCCGATTTTACATCCTTCACCAAAGCAGCAGCAGTATCATTGTCAATAGTAACAGGAAAGGTGGGAAAAGTTACCTTGACAAGCTCCTGTTGGCCTTCAGTCTGATTAAAATCAGGCAAATCTGTCTTCCAGATGGAGTTGGAATTGGCAACTGGAGGCATCCAGGGTTGGATGAACTTGTTCAGTAGTTCAGGGAAAAGAAAAACAGGATTCTTCTTATTCTTCCCGAACATAACCTCGGCGCTGATGCCGTTGTATCGCAAAACGCGATTATCAGAAGGGTTTGTCGCGTTGAAAATCACGTTCCATTTCGCCGCGACGGTGCTGGAAACAGGGTCGTGTTCCATGGGGAAAACAGAGACGGATTCGACCGCGAATTCGGGGACAATCAGTCCCCTGTGGTGGTAATTATTCATGCTAGCTAAATAAGCACACATCAGGATCATATAAACAGCCCTGATAAGAAAACGGGAGAAAGCCCAAATCTTCTTCCTCCCAAAACCACAAACTGGGACTGCATTACGAACATCATGATCAACAGGGATTTTCTCCTCCTCCTCCTCCTCCTTGTCATCGCTAGGGTTTTCCTCCTGGAACGGAATTTCAGGGGTTGTAGCCAAAGACTCGTTGAATTCTTCATCAACAGGGTTTTTCTCCTCCTCCTTGTCGTCGATTTGTCTACTAGGGTTTTCTTCCTGGATGGGAATTTGAAGGGTTTTAGACAAAGACTCCTCGAATTCTTCATCAGGCTCTTGTTTTCCTTGATCGATCGGATCATCATAACCGAAATTGGGACCATCGGTCATATCATCAAGGATCCCCAACATTAAGCTGCTATACCCAATGTGATTTTTACCCTGACATGCGCCATCAATAATTGCATAATCCTCGTCTAAAACCAAATCATCGGTGTAACCGTAGCTGTCACTATCAGATTCACTCGTGCTAGAGATGTTGTGAATCATGGTTATTGCGAAATTACAATACACTGAAGAAAAATAGAGCAGAGAAGAACCCAAAGATTAAAATCAGGGTTTTGATTTATATATCTATGAAGAATGCTGACCGTCGATTGCCTGTTTCCTTTCCGGGCCAGATTAGAAGACTAATTGTAGTCGATCACAAATATGCACGTACGTGTTTGCTCTCTGATTCGCAGCCTTCTCTCTCGCGGGTTGCCTTTTTCCACATACTTTTTTTGGTTTTCTTTGAAACACTTTAAAACGCTTTCCTCTTCACATCTCACTATTTATAGCATATTCAAGTTGTGGAATAATGGCAGATAAAACTTTAAAAAAAAAATATCACAAATGGGCTGCCATATTTCAATATTTTTGGAAACTTGAATTTGAGGTCCAATTAATCTTATCGAAAATTTACATTGTTCTGCTTCTGGAAATTAAATCATCAGACAATTTAAACCTATTAGTTATGTAATGTAGTGTCTAAACTCGCTTAAAAAATCATCACCACTAGGATCCGCACTTTATTGCGACATTATTATTTGTTAGTTTTTTTTTTTTTTTTTTATCAAATGTAAGCATTATGTATTAACATATGAAAGCAATCCCAATTTACAACTTTCTGCAACTATGACTGCCTTGTTTGTTGAACAAGGCAGAATTCCTATACTTCCCAAAAACTATTATAGGCAATTCTATCCTTCATATATACAAATTGAATCCTGTAACTCAGTTCCTGTTTGATCAATTCTGCTCTCTGCATTGTTTGATCAATTCTATCCTTCAACATTGACTATATATGTGTGTCTGTTTGTATATAATTATATATACAAACACGAATCATATAATTTGAGCTATGTGAACCAATTTCAAACTATTGAATATGATCGGCCTAAATTTATAATCAACCACGAATCATATAATTTGAGCTATGTGAACCAATTTCAAACTATTGAATATGATCGGCCTAAATTTTCACTGTAAGATTTATTTACCATTGCCATTTTAATATTAAAAGTTATTTAATGAAACTTGATTTTTTTATAAAATTTATAACTGTGTATTTGTTTATCTATTTATTTATGTAACATTTATACATGAAAAAGATCATAATTCCTTTTTGCTTAAAAAAAGTTATTTTTGTAAATTGTCTAGTTTTATGTGGCCAAATCAAATATTTTAGTAATGTGAAAAAAAAAATCATCTTTTTTGCTAACTATTAGAAATAGTTACTATCATTATGATTCATATCGCAAATTTAAATTAAATTAAATTAATTTTTTAAAAAAATTTCAAAGTCAATGTAAATTCTTATAAATTAAATTATTTGATTAATAAATATAAATTATTAATATTTCCAAATCAAGAATTTCCATTTTTTTGCGCGACCACGACTTTTTCTAATCATTTTACTCCATTTTTTTAAGGACACTAGTATGAATATTAAGTATAATATCTATCTTGATGCGGATTAAGTCGACGAGAAATTCTGCTTTAATCTAATAGTTTATATTGCTTCGATTAATTGGGGTTAAATTTGTCACTCAATATTTTTTTTATTTTCCCAGCTGTTTTTTAAATTTTGTTGTAAAACCCCTAACTGTCAATATGACGTCTTTTTAGTCCGGGAATTTTTAATTTTTTTAAAATCCCCACCTTGCCAAAACAACGTCGTTTTAGTATTTCCCCCAACTAAACTACCACCCGCTGTTATTTTCTACCACTGCCAACTTCGATTTCAACTTCTGCTTCTTCTTCACTGGTTTAGCTAAAGATTTTATAATCTCAATAGTTTTCAATCCTTCCCTTCGAATTTTTCTCTAAATTGGATATTTTGGAACTTAGTGATGAGGTGGTGGTCGCTGCTGTAGAGCCGATGCAAATTAGGAAATGGAGGAAAATTTAGAGGTGTTCTAGTTTGTGTTGCATATGGTGTTGCTGGAGGCTTTAGTAGAGATGGCGGAAAGTGTAAGAAATATTGAGACATCTTATCTAAAAAAACAAATGATTTTTTCAATGAAATATTTCTCGATAAAGAGCAAATCAATTACATTGAGAGATTTGATGAATATGTCTCAATGAATTAGTCAGATATTTATCTGGAAAAGAGGACATGAAAGTGTAAGAAATAAATTTTTTTTTATCGTATTCTATGTTAAGTAGTCAAACTTGAATAACAATTGCGTACTTTTTAATTATGAAATGAAAGCCTATAAATGATTCATCATATGAAATGCGTATACATCTCCTTTTAATGTATTTCTGTTTGCGCGACTATTACTTTTGTGTAATCAATTAGACGCTTATATATTACAACCTTTAGGTAATTAAATTTGATGGAACATTTGTAATTTTTTAGGTTTAAGATGTTATATTTTTCCAGCAACACTTATATAGACTAGTAGAGTTTATTCAAATAATCAATCTCAATTAAAACAGTTTGTACATATTTTGCATGGATTTTCATTGTAAAAGGAAGTTCTTCGCCCACAAAACGACTTCGTCGTCGTGAACAGAAATATTGACAGTTTTTTTTAAGAATAAAACAAAGGCAAAAATGCTATTCTAGCACTTGGGGAATAAGTAGAAAAAATTAATTATATGTTATGGAAAAATCTGATTTGATTGAATGTCCATATTAATATGTATTATTTTATTCACAATAAAGGAGATATGATTATGTAATATTTAGCATTAATGATAGGTAATTCATTTCTCATAGTTTGATCTCCTACTTCTTGTATAAATAGGGAGCTCATTCATGCTTCAAAACAGATATAAATACAAGTCTGTTATCTCTGTCTTCTCTCTTATGTTTCTTTGTTCTTATGCTTAATTTCATATTAGTAGTCTAGCATTAATTTTATAACACGTTATCAACACGAGACTCTAGCCAAAGAGTTTCCACCACCGCCTGAAGTTGGTGCGTATTAATTCTGAAGGCCTAAAGTCTTAGTGAATATTTTAATCCTACCACCGCCTGAAGTTGGTGCATATTAATTCTAAAGGCCTGAAGCCTCAATGAACATTTTAAAAGGTTTTTGTGACCTGAAGCGCCTGAAGTACCGTGACCTCAAGTCACTTTAAGATCTCAGTTTAGAATTGTCAATTCAAAATTGAGAAAGCGAATTCGGCACGTTGGAATCATACTATTTGATTTTGTATTGAGATGTCTGAGTGACATGTGATTTTATTAGTCAACAAGTTCTTGGACAAAAACCCATCCATGGTTTTTCATTATTTTGCTTTTGTTTTGATTTCTAATTCCATAAACTAAATTACCTGTTTTGTTATGATCTAATCTCGTTAATATCAATGCCTTATTTGATAATTATGTTATGATACATATTATTTATATTATCTTCTGGGAAGAGTAAAAGGAAAATAGGGGAGATTAATAATGGATTTTTTATTTCCTTGTTTTTGTTCAATCTAAACCTTTTAAAGTAATTATAACTTATTGGTTCAATACATGTTTACGTATTGTTGGTGTTATTAAGGTTTTGTAGAATAATTATATTTGTAAGTTTTCTTTTTCCTATAAAAGAAAATTATTTGAAAAGTAAATTGTCATTATGCTGTAGTGATTTGCTATGTACGTTGACAAGAATAAATGTTTTAGTTTTTTATTTTTATTTTTGTTGTATATAATATTATTGTTTTGTGAAAAAATGTCACCCTTACTTTGAGATTTTTCACTTCCTGAACCAAGTGATTACTGTATATATATATATATATATATATATATGTATATATATATATATATATTTCACTTGAAGTGAAAAATTAATGGTAACAAAAACAAAATTTTTCCTGAAGTTACAATGTTCCCATAATATATTTACCATATTAAATTGCTCCAGTAGTAACATTATAGAAAATATTTGGTGAAATCTTATGAATCGATTTCTTTCCATTCCCTGAAGTGAGTGGGAAGTAAATTATTTCGAGCCAAATTGTAGACAGTAAATCTACGGTAATTATATATAATATATAATTCTTCTCCTGAAGTTGGAGAGTTAATGATGATTAATTTGAAGACATGTTCAATTTAAACATGGTCCATTTCCTGAAGCAAATGTGACAATCATGCAATAATGATAGTAGTGATTCTAACAAATACTATTAACTACCTTGGAAAAAATAGTGAAAACACTATTATCAATCTGAAGTTGAAAAGTAGTATATTGCAAATGCTATCGTTGTGACATAGAAAACCATTGAGTTTACATGTTATGCATACCCACAATTCTCTTATTGATATCTTCAATATGTTATTGAAAGTAGATGAATTCATTAGTCCCATCGACAATGAATTAACAAATCACAATTCAATTTTATTAATCTCCCTGAAGGTGTTGCTATTCAATGATAAGCACAAAACAATTAGATGCTCCAGTAGAGCATATGCCATTGAATTATTTTGTAAAGATAAATGAAAACTTCCGTAGAGTATAATTAATCCAGAGAGTAAAACAAATAAATTCTCCTGAAGAGAAGATATAATAACTCATCATTGGCTTTGGAAGAGTAATAGTTAACAAACTTTGCTCCTAAAAGAGCAAGAGAATGTTAGAAGGAGAAAGTGCATTGAGATAAATTTTATTCTCCAAAGTATCAAAGAATGATATAAATTGCTCTACCAATACAACTATTTTAAATTTAAAAATTCATTGTTGTCTCTAGCAGAGCAGCGATACATTATTTTTAAAAGAGCAAGAACACTATGGTAGAATGAAAATAACTGAATAACAAGTACTCTGTCAGAGTAAACGCTCATGTGGAACGAAATTATTCTGGTATAGTTGAATAATTAATTCATTGTTTTCTCCAGAAGAAGAATTGTAAAATTTGGCATAACTACTTAAGCCATTCTGGTTTCAAGACGAAACAAGAAAGTTTATATGTTTTAAATTTGGAGAACCAAGAGTTTCTTCCAACAAATTAGAATATCAATCGATATGTCGATGAGACAGCCACATGTATAATTCTCGTTAACTTGC